AGTGACAATTGGGTGCATTTCAGTACATGGTCAGCCTCATTTCCTGGTACCCAAGAGTTGTGTCACTCTGCCTGGGAGCACAGTGGGATGAAAGTACAGAAGCTGCTTGTCCACACTCTCAGCCAGTGGCTGACAGGAGTAGGAGTATAAACACCCCAGCTTCCTTGTCTTCAGCGGGGATAAGCCCAAGGCTCAGGTCCAACTGTCCCCTGGAATCCTCCAGCAGGATTAAGTATCACTGGTGATTTATTTTTATAGCCCTTCCCTTCCCTCACACTTCCCCTCTTCCCTACCAAACTTCTTAGAGTCACCTCCCAAATTAACCTGTCTGCTTCTGAGAGGGTGGGAACTTGGAGAGGAAGGCGGTGATACTGGGAAGGTAGTGCATGATCACGCAGGACTAGAGTCGGGCTAATCAGATTCACTGGTGTTAATGTGTGAGCAAGAACTTGGTAAAAATATCAGCTTTGTAAAAAATGTATTCAATGTTTGGAGGAAATGAATTGGGAATATTGGAGCATCACTAGTCTTTTAGTATATGTGCTGCTGAAGTGAGCACAGAGCAGCACTAGTCTTAGAGCAGAAGACCAACTGAAATGTAATTCGCAAGAAATCACATGCTCCTTGCAAGTTTTTCTGTGCTTTTATCTGTCAAATGGACACAATACCTGTTTCTTAGGGTCATTGAGAGAACTTACTGCAATAACATTGGAGAGTTACCATATAGTAGGGTCTCAAATCTGTTGAATGTCAATCTAATTTATGAAGGCTAGATACTATACTTATTCTAATTTTAATGATTGCATCACCATGATTTATATACACAGGACTTTAACACCTTCTAAGTCAATGACATTAACTATTTTTTTTTTGAGACAAAGTCTCTCTGTGTAGTTCAGGCTGGCCTTGTCTAGGATGGCCTCAAATTCATGGCAATCTTTCTGCCTTGGCCTCCCAAGTGCTGGGATTACAGGAATGAAATTAACTAAAATAAGGTTGCTCAGAAGTGATTTCTATGTTGTGATTAGATGCTCCGTGGTGACTATTCCCTAGAAACACTTGGCTCTTAAGTTTTAGATATAGTCTTACAAATTCTGGTTTTAAGAATAAAGAGATGAATGATATGATGAACAGTCAAAAATCACTAAAATCATGTTTAAAGATGAAACCCTTGTGGATAAAAGGCAAGAACAACAGACTCATAGCTCAGGCTCCCTGTAGAAGGCTGAATAAGTCCCCTCCTCCCTAAAGATGTCCACATACTAATGCCTGGAAAATGTGGATGTTATATTATATAGCAAAAGGAACTTTGCAGATGTGATCAAGGTAGCATTTTGAGATGGGAAAATTATTCTGGGTTATCCAGATGGGCATGATATAATCACAAGGGTTCTTCTTAGAGGGACAAAGACAAAGAAGAGCAAGAAAGAAGGCAAGGAGACAAAGGCAGAAGAGATTCGAGTGATGTGGCCATCAGCTGAGGATTGCTGGCAGTCTCTAGAAACTGGAAACAATAACGACCAGATTGTCCCCTGGAGTGTCCAGGAGGAGCCAGCCCTGCCAACACCTTAATTTTCATTGCATAAGACTCATTTTGGACTTCTGATTTCCAAAACTGTAAGACTATAAATGTGTGTTGTTATAAGTCATGAGGTTTCTGTTAAGTTGTTACAGTGGAATTTCCCCAGCAGGGATCCAAGAAGAATTAGTTCTCTATGTATGAGGTGCGATCACAAAATTCAGTGAAAAATTTATTACAGTAAAAGACATTGCCATTTTCCTTCCTCAAAATACTCCCTCTGGCTTCGAACACACATATCCCATTGTTCTTACCACTCTCCCCAGCAGTTCTGGAAGTACTTTCTCTTGAGTGTCTTTTATAAGGTGTGATAAAAAAAATACAGTGAATGCAGTTGCTAAGAGCCATCCAACAGAAACACAGGCTTGTAAAAGCATTACAGTGTACCATCATCCACCTTATTCAACAGATCTGGCACTGTGGAACTTCTGGCTCTTCCCTAAAGTTGAAATGATCATGAAAGGGGAAAAATTTTGAAAGGATTCAGGACATCAAGGCAGCCACAACAGTGCGACTAAAAATACTCATCAAAGAAGATTTCCAGAATCGCTTTTAGAGAGTGGCAACAACGGGATAAATGTGTCCAAAGCAAGGGAGAATATTGTGAGAGGTTTAACGGAAATGTGTCTTTTATTGTAAATTTAAAAAATTAAACATTCACAGCATTTTTGATCACATCTCATAATGTATGCTTTGTAAGGCAGCAGGTCCAGTAACTAACCCAGACATTGATTCATCTCTCACATTATTTTTACTTGAAGTCAATAGAGAAAAATGTAAAACAGAAATATGTTTTAAGTAGGTAGCTGCTCTGAGCTTTAATCTCAAGAAATGCAAAGTTAACCTTAGGTACCCAAGGCAAATAGATTCCAGTGTTAGGGCCCAGAGTGCTGGAAATGGTGCTCAGATCAATACATGCTTTAGACCAGTGCTAGAAATATAACAGACACCTACATGTAAAATTTTCCAGTAGCCACAGTTTAAAAAATGTACAACAGGGGCCGGGGATTTAGCTCAGTGGTTCTGCCTCCTGCCTCGAAAGTGCAAGGACCCGAGTTCAATCCCCAGTACAAAAAAAAAAAAAGTGCAGCAAGTGAAATTAATTTTAATAGCGTATGTTATCCAATGTAGTGTATCCACAATGTTATCATTTCAACATGTGATTGATATAAAATGATTAATGAGATATTTCCTGTTCATTTTTTTTTCACACAACATCTTGACATTCCACTGTAGATTTTACTCATACAGCACATCTCATCTCGGCCTGGCCACATTTCAGGGACTCAGTAGCCACCTGGGGCTCCTGCCTACCACATTTGCTGTAGTGGACACAGCAGTTCCAGAGTATCTAAACAGTTCCAATACCCAAAGACATGAAAACGTGTAAGACAGGGCAAATCCTGGTGTTTCAGAGGTAAATGCACGTGGCTAATAAATTATGCATTTGATCGGCGTTAATTGTCTACCATGCACTGTGCACTGTTTAAGAGGCGTACAATTTTCCAGGTCACAAAATCGTGGCACAGTGTTTCAACTAGAAACAATTGGTGCTTATGTTAGAAATTTGTGTGCCACAGCTTTTACGGCAGACTTCGCTGAAATCTCAGAAAATACCCACTAGGCACACTTTTTTTCCTTCTCTGTAAATGTGTTGTCCTTAAAGTGGAGTTTGGAGTTCACTGAATGTGGCCCGTGGGAAGTTCCTGAAGAGTCGGTCATGTGACATTTCCAACAGGGTTGAGCAGATGATAACTCATGGGCTCCGGAACCCGATCCCGAGCAAAGAAACCACATTTCACATCTTGAAAACTGCAGAATCCTGACATAAAGATTCTCCAGTTTAATATTTTTCAGATTATTCGGGGGCTTTTCGGGTTTTAATTTAATTTGGTGGCACTTTGAAAGTGAAACTCTGGGAGGTCAGTTTGCCCGCTGCTAAACTATTCATCTCATCTCCAAATCATACTCCGGCTTTTCTAAAGTGGGCTTTCTAGCAAGACAAGAACTGCCCACTTTCAAGGAAGATGAGATTATAAGCGAATTGCTTCTGCTAAGGAAATTGAGACTCGAGATTCATACATTCTGAGGACCTGGTTGGAGGTTCGTTCTGTTTGAACTTCAAAATCCCTTAATACCATGGCTGACTCTGATGAAAGATTCTTTTCCTGTAAGTCAAGCAAACTCAGGCGGGCTCCCCTTTAAGAAGCCTAACCCAGGTTCTGGGGAATCAGCACTGAAAGCTCAGCCCGGGGGTGGTCCGATCAGGCCATATCCGGAGACCTCTGTTCTTTGTCACAACTTGGGGAGTTAGGGAGCTGCCATGGTTGTTACGGGCATGGAGTGGGAAGAGGCCAGGGATGCTGCTGAACTTCCTACATTGAGGCCGCCCCATACCCTGGCAAGGAATGATGTAGCCCAACTCAAACGGTCAACAGTGCTACAGTGCAACCCACTGGAGCAGACACGGAAAGGGAAAGAATCCCTCACAGCCGGGGACCCAGGAGACCTTTCCAGGGCGTCTTTCCCAAAAGGCTGCCCTGCTGTACTGGGGAGGAGCAGGGGCACTGGACAATGCTGCCTGGCCCCCAGCTCCATCGCTTCCTGGCTGTGCCTCTTTGGGCTAGTTACTCGGCCTCTCTGTGCCTCGTTTTGCTCCTCTGCAACACAGGGGTGGGACAATATTAGTGCCCTCCACACAGAGTAGTGACGGGCTCTCTGTGGCTTCATAGCTCTAAAGTGCTTACAGCTGTGCCAGGTCTACAGCAAGCACTGTGGCAGCGTGTCTTTGCTAAGCGGCTGGGCAGACCTCTAGAGAGATAAGTTTCGGGACTCAAAAAAGCTCCTCGGGGGGAGGGGGAGGGTAAGGAAGTGGCTGCAGGCTCTGTATCGCCAAAGCAAGACTGAGAACAGTTGTCCCTTGACAATCACGTCCTTTCTTTCCAGTTCAACAACCCGAAGCAGAGGGCAGCCAGGCCAGGAGCAGCGGAGCGGAGGGAATCTCCTTTAGACCACAGTTTGAATCCCTCCTTCCCCCTCAAAACCAGCGACTCAAAACCAGTTTGCGCCCTTGGGATACACCGGCAACCAGCAAACGGAGCACGGAACCGGCCGGGCCACCCACGCGCACAGTGGCCCCGGCACCCCACCGCCACCACCCCGGGCTGCGCGCCCAGCCTCGGTCCCCCAGCCAGGTGGGGCACAGCACATTCAAACGCCCGGGATGCAAAGCGCGGCCAAAGGGCCGCCGAGAGGACAGTGTGGGCACCCCAGGCCTGGCACCCTGATCATGTCCCGTCTCTGCGCACAGGCACGCGTGCACACAGACAGCCACTCTCGCAGGGTGCTCACAGGACAGGGGTCCGAGAAGGGGCTCCAAAGGGAGAGGCGAGGCCGGGTCGATGGCCAGCCAAACACTCACCTGGCAGCGTCCCCTAATCCACCTGCCACCCAGGGGAGCAGCAGCGGGAGCGCGAGACCCCAGGGCGGCCGCATGTCCCAGCGGAGCGTCGCCCTCCTCCTGCACCCCCCGGGAAGGCGCTGGTCTGGATGTGCAGTGCCCTGGGCTCCGCCTCCTTTCTCCTGGGCCGCTCGGGGGCTGGGGGGCGCCCTGGTTAGGTGCGTGGGCTCCTCCGCCGGGAAGCAGCCAGGAGCAAGGGCGGGAGGGCGGGGCCCCCAGGCCGTGCACATCTGGTTGGGACCCGCCTCCAGCGCGACCCGCGCCTCTTCCGCCTCTGCACCCAGAAACTGTCCTCAGACTCGAGGCACCATCGCTAGCCTCGTATTTTCGGGCGTGGGACACGTTTCTGGGAGCCCTGAGCTCCAGGGACTAAGAATGCAGGTGAGAAATTAAAGCACGACCAAGCGTTCGGGTTCAACACGACTCAGTGTGTTCTCTCGCTTTGGGTTAGGGTTTCTACTCTGCCAGGCTTTCGGCCACACTGCAAATCTCATGGGATGCTAGGGTTGGATGGTCACCAATCCTGCACTACCCTGTCACTTGTGACAAGTGATCTCTTCTTTACGTAGGACCCCAGATGAGATGGTAGTGCATACTCCAGCGGCACAAACGGGGGTGTTCTGCAGTGTGATGGGAAAATATGGTGAATGTCTATCTTTTAAAAAATTACAGTAAGGGGTACATTGCCATTGATTCCTGTTAGGATGTGCTCCCCCACTTCGAATACGGATATCCCATCATTCTTGTCCTTTCTTTTTCCTTTTTTACCCTGGAGGCACAGAGATCCCTGGGAGGCAGTGAGGGATGAACTGGGGAAGAAGACATATCAGTTTGGAGGTTTCCTCTGTATTGATGTGCCTCTTACCTTCCCCCACAATTTCATTTCCCTCCACTCACCCCAAAAAGAACATAGTAAAAGGAAGGGATCATTGAGGTTCTGGGCCCCCAGGGCAGTTAGAAAGGGACAAAACCCAAAATAATCACTGGGTGTGACAGATGGATTGACAATCAAGAAGTCTAAAGCAGAGTGGGAAAGCAGGGTAAAGAAATGGGAAGAAAGAGGGCAAAGGACAGGTGTGTCAGGGGCAGCCCCTTCACAGACGTACACCCTTTCATCAGCCAGGCCCTGTATAGAAAGAGAATTTCATGGTGTTCCTAGTGCAGCTGATCCATGGTATCACTGGTGGGTGGAATGGCATTGTTGACAAAGAAAAACTAGGCATCCTCAGCTCAGAGATGAATTCACTTATGAATCAAGAAGTAGAATTGACCTACTGTGAGATCAGAAGGTACCAGGTGTATCTTTTTGTCCAGGTCCCATAGCTGAGCTTTGGAAGCCTTTTCTGCTATCACTAGAACCTGGTCTGGGTGTTTCTGTAGGATCCCCCACTCTCAAAGGGGCGCTTCTCTAACTGATGCTGTTCTTTGTACACAAATTTTGTTCTTCCAGAAACCAGGGTGGACTGAGCCTGGCTAAGCTCTTACACTTTCTGAAGCAGCTCTGGAAGTTCTCTTTCCTGAGTGTCTTTAGTTGTGCTGTCCTGGCTGCCTTGATGTCCTGAATCAATTCAAAATGTTCACCATTCCTGGTTATTTTGACTGTGGGGAAGAGCCGGAAGTTGCTCAGTGCCAGATCCGGTGAATATGGCAGAGGTGAATGCACCATCATGTTTTTCCGAGCCTGCCTTTCTGTTGGGTGGCACTGGGTAGCGGTACTCACCGCATTTTTTATCACAACTCATAAACACATTCGCTCTTCCAGTTTTGAAGTGTCAAAAGACTAAGATTCAGAGAGACTAAGTGGCTTACTCAAAGTCACACAGTAAAGCATAGAACTAGGCTTGGAAGCTAGGGCTTTTCTCCACTGCTGTTATATATATATATGTATATATATATATTTTTTGGGGGGGTCAGAATTCTTATTCCTTAGCAGCTTCACATGTTAAAGGAGTGTCAAGAATAGGTAATAAGAGGACCTCTTCAGACTCTTATCAAAACCCTTTTACTCTTCATACCCCCTTTTGCTTTATTTACTGGAAATATTAAAATTAAAAGGCAAGAATATAACTGTGTACCTCCACATACCTTACAGAAAATAAAATGTAGAATTTATCTTGGTGTGAGTTTCCAAACCAGCAGACACAGAGGCAAGGATCTGAGTGGAAGAGTTTACTCTGGATGCACAGAGATCCCTGGGAGGCAGTGAGGGATGAACTGGGGAAGAAGACAGTATCAGGCATATGTCACGTTATTGTAGGCAACGGGAAGTCCATGAGCTGGCCATCTCCCAGAACCAGCAGGGGACACACATCTCCCAGTGCTCTCTCCCCAAAGTGAGAGTGCTAGGGTATTTATGCTCCATCTCCACTCCGTCGTCACCTGATGGTTTCTCCCAGGGTGCTGATCCCGGACTTCTGCCTTCTGTGCTGAGGGCAGAGTGGGAGAGATGGCCAAGGCAAGCCCTGGGGCAAAGGGCTGTGAACACTGACTGTTGACAGTCCTATTGAAATGCAGGGCCTGAGGGGACATGGCAGAATGCCACATTGGCTGTCACCTCATGTCTGGAAATTGAACTGAGTTGAATATTATGGGTTTTGGCTACCATGCCACCTCTCCCTAAACATTCAGATACGAACCACTTTCACCTTTAAATAAACCATTATTCATAAAAGTCCTAATTAAGCATGGTTAGCCTAATGTGTTCACCCTGCCTTCTTAGCATGCTGAGTTAGAAAGATCAAAATAGTATCTTGCATTAATGCTTAGCGATCTGTTTTTAGCTTCGATTTCAGCAGTTTGGTGCTGTTTCTGGTTTCTTCAGAGCCAAAGTCCCCTTGGTAAGCTGAAGGAGATGATGAGCATTACTTTAGGGTAACTTTGGGGGAGGTCAAGTGCTTCTCAGCCAAACCCCTACTGTTCCCTGGGGTGAGCTGTGGACAGAGGAACTGGCAGGTGGCATGAGGGGTAGAGAAGGAACCTGCCAATGGTGCGTGGCCAGGTGAGATGTCAGATCCAAATGGACACCTGGAGGCAGGTGTTTTTAATAACTGCGCTGGCACTGCTGACTTTGAAGAGGAACCTGGCAATGGCTCTTTAGGGGGCTTGGCTCCATTCTACAAAGGAAAAGCAATCTTTGATCAGAATCTCATAAAATCATCTGTGCCTTGTACAGGGCTACATGTTTCAATCTATTTCCACTTAGCCACCTGAGTGTAACAGGTGGGTGTGATCTTTTTGTGCTTTCTGATGCACATACAACTTTTAACATTGACAGTGTACCTGGCACTGAGATTCAAAAATTATTTAAATGGCACCAAAAGAAAAAGCCAGGAGCAAGAGTGTCTAAGCCAGTGTTTTCACACTTTAATGCCAGTGCCTATGACCTGGCGATCTTGCTAAAATGCAGATTCTGTCTGTAGGTCTAGGGTGAGGCCCAAGAGTCTTGATTATTAAAAAGTCCCCAAGTGATGCTCATGCTGCTCATCTGAGGACACTTGGTTGATGGAAGTTTTGCGGTTGCCTGACCCATCATTGGCAAGTCTAGCTATACTTTGGAATCACCTGGGAGGCTTTGATACTCATGATGCCTGCCTGGGCCCTACCGTCATAGGTCCTAATGTCTGGGCTGTTGGGTTGGGCATGGAAACTTTCAGAAACTCCCTAGGTGATTCCAATGGCCAGCCAATGGGGTGAGCCACTGATATGAGCCAATGCCCACATTTTACAGTTGGAAACCTCATCTGGAGCCTATGAAGCTACTTTCCTGAGATATCTCACACATGATGAGCTAATGTCCCTATGTTTCACAACATAGCCCCTCCTCCATATGTCGTGATGTTTTCTTGGTCACTATTCCTATTGATGACAAAAACGATATCTCTTAATTCTTAATCTATATTCATTGTATCCCAGTATCGTGTTCTGAATTGGATGTGTTTTCCCAGTCTGTTTCTTTCCATCTCTTCTTGTTCAGTGAAAGGCGTCAGTGGAGAGATGCAAGACTCTCAAGGCTCACAGCGCTAACTTCTGTATGGGGAGGCGTATTTTGAGGTGCCCATTGGTTTTCATTACCCTGTGCCTGTCAAGACCCCCATTCTTGAAGCTCTGAGGTGGAAGAAATTTCCAATCGCCTTGTCTTCCACCCCTTCCTTTTTCCTCCTCCTCCTTCCCTCCCATTCCAATCATTTCCTGTTTTGTTGCTTAAATATTTATTGAGGTCCTATTAAGTGCTGTGCTCTGTGCTAGGCCATGGGGCCACATGGTGGAAATGTGTCCAGCAGACACTTGCTGTTTCTTGTGTCTTCTTGGCAAGGTGGCCTGTACAACTTCACATGTGTTTTATAGAATGTTTGGTCTTCTTTAGCAATGTTATTCTTATCTCTCAGAGCAGAAAACCTAAGGCAAGATTAAAAGTTAAAATGACCCCTTGATAAATCTCCCCCTCAAATTTTCCTAGCTCTTGGAACTCTCCTTTTGGTAATTGAGGAAGAGAAAGAGACTGATATTTGTGGAGTGATTATTAGATGCCAGATATTTTATAGCTAGTAATTATTTAACATTGGCAGCACCTGTGTAAGACAGCCATCCTTACCCATTTTCACAGATGAACAATACAAGGTATAAGTAGTTAAACATCTTTTCTAAAATTACCTGGCAACATGATGGAAAAAAAATGGGATTTGAAGTCAGAACTCAAGGAGATCAGTTTTGCCATCAAATTTCATTCTTCGTAGCAGAAATCTATAACTGGTGCCGGAAGAGGAGGGTCAGTTCACCATCAGAAAAAGTGCATAATATTTTATGTGTAGGGGAGGCTGTTCTGATGAGAGGCAATATAGATTTCATCCTATTTTGACGGGGGCACAAAGCTTGAAATGTCAGTACTAAATAGAAAAGTCCCCTTGCCTATGGATAAGGTCTCACTGCCTGGATGTTTTGACTTTTGACAAAATTTGTTGAGCTCCCAACCACAGGCTCTCAGTGGGCAAGGGCTTTCCTGTCTGACTTGTGAGGTGGGGAGGCTTTCAGCTTGGGTCCATCCTGAGGATTCCTTCTTGGTCCCCATATAAATATCCTTTGCTATTTTCCTGTTCATAATTGAATGTAATAATGTGGCATACTGCAGCAAGTCTTGTCTATTTTTTTTCCTCAATAAATGCTATATAATGATTTG